CAACTGCACTTACAATCTTCAACTCAGCCACCTCTGACTGGAGTCGCGGTGCAGCCCAAATCAGCGTAGACACTGCTTCTGCCAGGCCTGAGTCCAGCTCCCTGAGAAAAACAGCAGACAACCCTGTCTCCACACCAAGCACAGTCCTTGCTGCCCTCCATCTACTTAGCCTGAAGGCCCCAACCCCAATACTGGGCTCCAGAGTCTTCCCTGTCTGGAGGTCCTAGGACACAGAGACCAAGAAGTGCCCTTCTGTATCCCAGGGCTGCGCCCTGCTGGATCCTTCCCTGCGCCCAGGGGCATGGATCCTCTCCCACAGCCCACCCTCCAGGCCAGAGCTTACTTCATGGACTGGATCAAGCCAAAGCGGGCTAGCAGCAGATCGCAGTACAGCTCCAGGATCTCCATGGCCTCCACAAGGTAATCTTCACGGATGATGTGCTCCACACGAATCCTGGCACGCTCATCTTTTCCGGCTGCCAGATAATCTGCGATCTCCTTCCTCGCCTTCTGGGCCAGCTCAGCTACAGTGCACAATCCCACAGCCGGTCACTGCGCTGGCAGGGCTGCCTCTGCCCACAGACCCATCAAGCATCTGCCACCTTCACCATCTCTGCAGTGCCATGGTGGAGCCCTCCTGCCTAGGTCCTAGCTCACTAACTCACAGGAAAAGGGAGAGTGGGCTTTGAGCTGCCACAAACACCCCTACACCTTCAGCTTCCCTGCAGAGCCAACCAGAGCCATGCATCTCATCTGTGGCAGGGCAGGGCAGCACAGGTGGGGAAAGCCTCCCACAGCACCCAGGAAGATCCCCACTATGCCATGGGCACACGAGGCCCAGGAAAGACCCCTCCAGGGCAAACTGGCACATCCCTGCACACAGGGCCCACAGCCACCACCCCACGCACCCCATCAATCGCACTGCGACACCCACCCAGAAGAAGGAGAGGGGCTGGGCTGCAGCCAGACAGCTCCTCTGGGTGCTCACACAGCAGGGCAGGCTGCAAGGCCTGGGCTCAGCATGGGAGAGCAAAAGGCTACTCCACACTTTTCACTCCCATGAAAAGGCTCCAAGAGCTCCTGGGCCACATCTGCCCCTCAGGTACTCACTCTTCTTTTTCTCCAGCAGCTTGAGGCGATTGATGACGAGGCGCAGGTTGACTCGCAGGCGCTCAGCCTTGAACCCAGAGCCCAACATGATAAACGCTTTCTGTGGGAAAAGAGGCAAGGGCTGCTGTAACCAGGAGCTGCTGGTCACGCCAGAAGACACCAGTCAGTTTCATTTCAGGTAACAATATTGGATTTCTCCAAACAAACAGGTACAGGCCTGCCAATCCTCAGCCTGGTTATTTACCTTCCTACTTTACAACCCTGCACCGAACCAATGCCAACAGGAAACAGAAACTTCCTGGATATCCCCATTCTGACAGACTGACTCTTGAACCCAGAAACAGATGCAAGATGATAAAAAATTGGGATTACTCCATAAATAGGAACAGGATTAGAAAACACACCCTAAACCAAGAAGTTAAAGGCCTGGGTCTATTTAACCTAGCCAGGTGACACTAGCCACTGATGTGAACACCAGAGTTCAGTGAAGTTCTAAGAACATCAGACAAACATCTGCCAGCAGGGCTCTAGGAAAACACGCCTGTGCCTCAGTTCAGCAAGCTGAGCTTCCCAAGATGGGATCCTGAGGGTCCCTTCAGCCCCAGATTTCTAAGAAGCCCAAGTGCAGCCCCCTCTCAGATTTCACAGTAGACAGCAGCATTGCTGGAAGATGTGCTCTCCTCCCCTTGCTTTGAAAGGTGAGGGAAGTAAACCAGCACCTCGAGATGCCACCTGTGACAACATCACACAGTCAGACCCTGTGTTACTTCACTGATAAAACCACATTTTTTAAGAAACCTGAAAGTCAACTTCAAAAACCAAGACAACCCCTGTCCTATTAATATGCAAGTCATAAAGCGGCTGTACTACTAACCCCTGGGCTGTGCAAACTAAGGCTGTAACAGCTCTGTCATCAGAAGGAAAAAGTTGCCGTTCCCCACATTCCCCACGCTCTGGAAGCTCTCCAGTCTCTCATGAGCCAGTGCAACTCATCAGTCCTACAGAAAACTACCTCAGAAGATGCTTTATTATGCCTTTTTGTTATGCCAAGAAACGCTCATTAAAAAATCCTTTCTTAAGAGCTGTCACATAGAAAGGCCTTGGCTTGTACCTGAAGCACACATCGGAACAGACTTTCGGACAGTTTGTGTCCAACTAGTGATTTACACACTATTTTTTACTATCTAGAGTACATACAGTTTATTTAGTCGATCTGTTCATGCATCAATAGTTATTTCAATGATGCACAGAACCAACCAAGCTCAAAAAACGTTGCTAAAGAAATATATACACACGATAGAACTCTGATACCATAAAATATGCAAGTTCTGCCCTTCTGTAACTGGAACATACTCCCACAAGACCAAAATAACTTTATAGGGCTGCAAGAAACACTCCCAGTACGAGCCGCAGTGTCGCTGTAAAAGTATCTATTAAATAACTATCTATTAAATAACTACCGACAACCTGTTTCAACAGACGAGCTCAAAACACAGCCGCTGAGCAGCAGCCAGCTCCCAGCCATTCTTTCGCAAACATCCCACCGTCGGAGTAAGAAGTTTTGTTACCCCCGCTCCGTCGCGGAAAGGCTGATCCGACCACTCCTACCCCTCCCGCAGGGCTGCTGCTCTGCCAGCCCCACGCCAGCCCCTCCTCGCACGGCCA